CAAACAACAACAAAATTCAAATTGTAATTGAAGTTTCTTCTTTCTTCCTCTAATTTAACTTATGTTATTGATTTTTGTTTTATTGTTAGTGTTGTATACCTCATTGATCAAATTGGTGTTCAAATTATTTATTTAATTACTATTCAAATTATATTCCTGTTATAATTTTTTTTGGGATCTTTAAAAGATTGTTATATTGAAAGCATTATCAATTTCCAGATGGGTGATTATTTCCGTGGTATGCTGATTGAGACATTAGAGGATTTAGGAAAAACTGCGAACCCAGAAGCAAAGATAGTCAGTCTCCAGTTGGAATTGGAGACACAAAAATATCGGCACATGCTTGAAATGACTGAGCTTAGGAAAAACGTTTGCGTTATATTGAAAGATATTCAAAGGAGTATTCTAGAGGAAAGAGAAAAGGCCATCAATGAAACTAGAGCCACCTGCGAAGCTGAAACAATTAAGAGAGTGGAATTGGCCAAATCGAAACAATGGTAAGTACCTTACACAGCAAGTAACGTTTGACAAAATAGTAAAAGATCACTCCAAATTGAATAAAGTTCCGGCAGTAAGCTGCATGCTTACTTCTGCATTGAATCTCTTTCAAAATGACGCAACAATGAAAATTTGGGAAATTATCCAATAGTTTCATTTTGTAAAGATTTCAAAGGTTTAATTGTGGATTTATTGGCTGATATCCAAATAGAAATAATGCAGCTGTGAGTATAGGGACCGTTCAAGTATTACGTAAGCATATTTATTACAATTATTTACCCTCCCCTCATCCTCCCTTTCAGCAAAGGTAAGCAAAGCTCTTACCTCCCTCCCATGCTGCATACATAGACAATGTGTGGGTTGTCGCATATGTAAAAAAGTAAATAACTACTGCTGATGTAATCACCATCTATAGTGATTAGATAGTAGTATTCATGATGGCTACCAGGTCAACGGAACTAAATTTGTATCGTAAGTACAGAACTCGGTTACTTCCCTAGGGTCTGGAACAAGTATGTTGATGACATATTCGCTGTAGTGGATACAAGGATAACCAGAATTGAGAATGTCCTTTCAGCACTAAACAACAGGTGTAAGAGTATAAAATTCACATATGAAGTAGAAAAAGAACGAAAGTTGCCGTTTTTAAATGTATTGGTCATAAGGAACGACCAGAACAAAATAGAAATTAACATTTANTAAAATGACCCCACCATACTTGCTATCATTAATAACTTTCAATAAGGACATTCATCACCATTCTACTAGGCACAACAGTCACATTCATATAAATAGAACAAATACAAGAAATTGTATGAGCAGTTTATTTTTTAAAGGTTTTGTCCAATTCAATGATTTTCCTGATTCAATTAAATCTACTCTATCATTAAAGATTTTGAAGAGCAAACTGTTAAAATATATTCATGATGGAAATTGAACAATTCCTTTTTGTTAAGTTCAAATTATGTATGTATATAAAGTTGTATTATTTATGAAAATTGTTGATTATATTATAAGTTAGCTAACCTGTATATTAGGGAATCCTAATTCATTAAATAAATTCAAAAATGGTATAACAGTGACAGATACCAATCGAAAAAATTGAATTATAAATGAGTGAAGGCCGTATTCAACTTACAGGTGTGCAAATTGTTCGAAAGAAGCCCAATTTTACTGCTGTTGGAACACTAGTTACTGTGATTATCCCTGCCAACAGAAGCACTGGCCGCAGCACATGGGCAAGTGTACACAGAGTATTGAAAAAACAAATAACTCTACCACGCTACCGAATCGACCTTCCCCGCAGATCGTCTTGAGGCCGGCCGGACCTCCGAAACCAGGAGTCGCGGTGAGTTTTTTACTTATAAGGTGTGGGCCTGTGGAGTATTGATAGGTCTCTTGTTTTGTTTTGATTATTCTTCTAATGTTGTTGAGGTTGTGTTGTTCTGCACAAATATATGTATAAGATCACTAATAAATATTTCTTTTGGTATTTGTAGTTCATTCTTTATTTTTGTTGTCATTGCAGAGGATCGTTCCTAAACCAACCAAGGTTTACCCAAGAGCAAGTGCACCGCTAAAAACTTACAAGGTATGTATACTTTGAGTTATATTTTTCAGTTGAATGTTTCAAAATTGAATAATTCACCCAACAAGTATAATCAAACCAATATATCAGTCAGAATGAAAAAATATTGAACAAAGTTATAGACCTGTATCTCCCTCATCAAGTCTGTCAATTTTTTTTTAG